CTGATACAAAGCACATTCAAGCAAAAAAAAGAGACATTTCAAACATCAGATAAAGTTGTCTATGGAGCAACTTGATTCAGCCCAATGTGTGTCGTCAATTTTAATTAGTTATATTGCAAACATATTTCATAGTATGCGGCAAAAGAGGATTAAGCACTGAATAAGCGATCACTTTTGTCATCAAAGGCGCCTCTCCCACAATACATCAACAAGCAATTGCAATACCAGTAGAGTACGCAATGCTGAGCACATTTACACTGAGTTTGTCACTTTCTTTGTACAAGATAATAATTGCAGATATCTTGTATTTGTAGGATTCCGAGTTTCCGAAGTTAATGAGAATAGCTAATCGCCGGTAGATACTCGCTGTTTTCATTAACATTCAGCGAAAAATTCATGGCATTAAATAACTAATAAGGTTTTTGCTAAACGTCGGAAAGTCCGTATTATCATAAATTACTATAATAATATATTTAGTACTACTACTGAGAGAGGAACGTCTCGCTCCGTCGCATAATGATGTGAAAAACGGCTAAATACTGAATCGAATCTAAATACTTCGTTTCCTAATGTCGCTATATTTTTTAGGGGTCAAACGTTTTATGGAACCTGGAGTAAAATGTAGCCCTAAAATTTACTAGCTGTAATTCGTAAATACGTTACCGTGAAATAAAAAAAAGATAGCTATGATACTTAGTGATATTTCTAATGGTGTAAGAATTTTTAAAATCGGCAAAGTAGTTTTTACATGATTAAAATACATGGTAAAACACAAATGATTCGTCTTTATAATATAGTAGAATGAATACGTTGTTACATTTATAAATGTCGTTTCAGTATTCGGCAAAACAAACTTAAACATCAGATTAAAAACAGTTGGAAACAAATGTTTTATTGCTATTTTAATTACGTAATAACTGTTAACTTAGCAAACATAAAATAATGTGTCAGCGTGGGAATTAACAGCTAGTTCAATACATCTTTGGTCGTAGTTTACAATAAATAAGAGATGGCTTATTCCAATAGCGATAAAATATATTGCATTGCACATTAGTCTGCTCTCTCAGAAATCAGGACCGTTTTGTAGTAATCAAAGCCATCGCACGAGCACTAGCTGAATTGACGTCAACAGCTGCTAGTTTAACATAACAAGTGTCCAGTTGAGGCGTTCGCCTTGGCCGCTAGAGGTCGCCATTCAATCTCTGATAAGGTTGGCAATGGCAGTGGCAGTGGTAGCTAAAACTTATGTTATTTAAGGCTAAAGATTGCTATGATGCCATATTAATTAACTGAAGATTATCGATGTCTATTAAACAGAGAAGTACTACTTTCATGAAGGAAGAAAAATGAGATCGACTTAATCTAGAGTGATTTCCATTAGCCTATATTGTAGACTAGAACCTGTCAGTTACTAGATGCAAAGTGGAATGAAGTGGACAAACAGGTTGTAACCCGATTGGAACGGAGCCAGTGACATTGCCAATTACTTTTCAAAAGTTATTAAAATTAAGTAGTCTTGTATAGAACGAGCTTTTTTATACTATCGCGATGAAAAACTTTTCTTCAGCTGCAAAATTTATCCTCATTTCTCCGACCTATCGCTAGGAGGCAACAAATCTGGCAATTTTCATATTTGCATGGGTGAACTTTAATGTCTAAATCTAATGTTCAGGAAAACAAGATATACAAGATAAGATAATTATCCTTGATAGTTTATCTCTTACATAAACTAAATGTTTATTAACAACATCAAAATATGTTTTGGTATTAACAATAAGAGTTGTCATCCCATCAGATGACAGCGGGGCTCCTCTCCTATGGCACTCATAACAAACAAGTAATTTACGCACAACTGACCTCGAGAAACTTTTACTTTTATATTGAAACGTTCCACTGTTCTGAAAAGCAACGAAAATACTTCCGATTATAATAATAGACATCAATAAAATTCATGATCTATTTAAGCATAATTGTGTTCACCAATATTTAGAATTCAGATGATGAATATCGTTAAAATGCAACAGGAAAGTTTCACGTGTTTGTCTAGTTAGTAAAATGTCACGTTCGTTAGTATAAAGCCGTTGTGCCGTATGATAACTGCGTGTCAGCGTGTTGTGCCGTGTCGTGCCGCGGCGTGGTGCAGCGTGCTGCGGCGGCGAGATGCGCTTGTGATAAAGTCACGTCTGTATGTTAACTGCACATTAGCGGTAACCCAAACAGTCGTAAGATGTACTGTATAACATTTACCGTAATATTTAATTTATCTAACTACTTAAATATATGTAAACAAAAGTTACTGCAATCTACGAGTTGTCAGCGGTTGCAAAATAGCAAGAGTTCGCGAGTCAAATACAATATTTAAAGTTAACAAAAAATGACCCGCTGATAAACGTAGCTTTCTAACTTTGATAGAATTGGTTCAGTTTTTATAGTAAGGTTATTTGTAAGGAACATTACAAAAGACATGTACAAATCAAACAACTGAATTTGTCACATTTTAGATCGAAATATTACTCTTTTATTAATGTAATATTAGAAACTTGGCTTAATATTCTTTGTTTTCTTATTTTTTGACTTGATGAACTGTATTTCAATCATCAACACGTTAAGTTACATACATATTTCCACAATCAAAGCGAATTGTCCTTTCAACCGCTCGTGCGTTCGGCCTTAAACTTTTGTGTTCAAAGTCATAATAACTATGTATGTAAACTGTACGCACACGTCGACATTTCCCTAATTTAACAGTTGTATGGTTAATGACCACGACCTCACAGAAATCAGGCGTCAAGTAGAGTAAGTAATTTGCTAATGAGCAGTTTATTAGAAAGGAGTAAAGTCGTTCTAAAGCTCAGCGGTATCTTGCAAAATATCAAGCTCCAGCTGCCGCCGCGGCCGGCCGTCGCGAAGGTTGTTTGCTTTTAAAAATTGCATGCGTTCGCTGCAATTTCAAAATACATACCTAGATCAAATTATTGAATTTAACGGTTGTATATCGGTTGTATGTTGGTCGCATATGTAAATACGTATCTTCGATCAACAGCTTATCGAAATTCTAGATATTACGCAGAGACTCATCACCTTCCCTACCTTATCTTACCGTCGCCGCTCGGCGCAGAGACTATAGTACCTGTCCAAGACCACAGACACGTAGCTAGTGGTCAACGGCAACCAGTCGGAAAGGAGGACTGTCAGGGCGGCGATCTTGCCATTGGAAACATGCAGCCCTTGTCTGATTCATACAGCTTGCATCAATAACATTGGCGCGTACATTCTTTGTTTAAAAATGTGTTGTTTGAGACATAAAGAAAATAATTCAGTTCATTAACATTACTTTTACTAATAAAAAGGAAAACGTCAGTCGAATGCGTAGTTTTGAACGGTAAGTAGTTAGCTGCGGGTGCGGAACAAATGATACGCGCGTGGATAATGTCGAGATAGCGAGGTGGTGCGGTCGGCGGACGGCGGGGCGCGGCGAATCGCACCATTGTGCGTCGACTGCTGGCACAGCTTGTCACTTGTCACAACATCGCACCGCGTCATCTGACACACGACGATTGTTTGTTTTGTAAACTGCCGCACGCAGGGATAGTGAGAACTGGCAACATGTAAGCTTGTACCAGTACCCGTGTACCCACTTAGTCTACTGATGGCACCGTATCCGCGGAAAGCCATGTTTCTTTTTAAATTTATAGCTTCAGATAGGGAACAATGTAAACTCAACAATTTTGCAGAGTACGTCAAAATAATTAGACAGAAAAAATGAATAAATTACAAATACCAAACCCAGAAGAATGGCTCGTCCACTTTTTGTTGTCTTACAAAAAGTCGATTCTTATACAACAAATTCCCGCATCTGATTCTTGAAGAAACGAATAGACGCGGAAGTGTTTTAACAAACTTTATCTGCATAAAAACATAATGATACTTTTAATGTCATCAAAAACAATTAAACCTGATTATTAAACACAAGATCACATCATATATGTAATCATTCACAATCAGTATAATTTTACTGCATAATTTCTGTACACAGTTTTTTTTTTTCATAATTCAAAACGTCCCACGATGGCAGTGACTGACCAGACCTCCACAGCATTACGGGCGGCTGAGTGTCAGTGGTTGTTTAGGAGCATGATAATTAAGTTATTGCGATCTAAATGTTATTCATTTACACTCATCGTGTCCATAGTTTTTTAGTATTTCGATGCAATTGAAACTGCACTATAATATAATAACTATTTCATCAATGGTGGACAAGTTTTTATTTTTGATCCCAAAGTTCCAGCTACAGCTGGTGTTAAAAGGGGCGCTAAGCGAGGGTATTGTGCGCTCGTAGCGATGTCGTAGCGCCGAAATAAACACTATCTGGATTAAAGTGATCCTTGCAGCTTTTGCCTGCATAAACATCTCCCTACTGGTACCATGTCGTTGCATACCAAACATAAAAAAATGTAATAAAAGAGTTAATCAAAAATAATTGTGACTCACTAGAATAGGGTGCGCCGCAGGTGCCGCGGTGGCAGGCGAGGCAGGACTCCTTGCCCTCGGTGCCCAGGCTGAGCGTAGGCGCCAGGCTAGGCCGCGGGCACAGCTTGCAGCCGCCGTTGAACTTCTCGCAGAGGCACACATTTCTGTCCAGGCCCTCGACTTTGAGCTCGTTGAGTCCGAACCTGTCGCACTCGTTTTTGGCGAGGGAGGCGGCCAGGTCGGCCGGGAGCGCGGCGGGCAGTGCGCAAGAGGGGCAGCCGGGGCAGCGCGCGCCCGCAAGGTTTCTGTTGGCCTCCGTGTCCAGGTTGTCATTGTCCAGCACGGGTATGTGATATGCGCGGTCATCCCGCTTGCCGGCGGCGCCCTCGGCCGCCAGGTAGGAGGTGAGCGTCACCTCGGAGGAGGAACGCAGCGCGTTGTTCAACTTATACTTGGTCATTGTGCGTGGCTGAGGGTGGCGAGCGCGGACATCATTCAGCACGGCGAGAGGTCGCACCGAGCACAGCGGTGTGCACGAGACAGCGGCGACCGCGCGCACCTCCGACTGTCGCTAGAGTGCGGCCTGTGTGCCGCCGCCGCCACTGCCGCGAGCCGCCGCCAGCCGCGACCTCAGCGGGCTCGAGCGCGCTCGCCGGCACGTTTTGACAAAAACATCACAGAATCATCCGTCACTTAGCAGTACTTTTACTAATGTGCTAAGTGCCGCATCGATGTCGGCGCTTCATTAATTTGTCCCGTATTGGTGACGCAAACGATGAAATAACAGTTGATTTTATACTTCGTTTAGATTATTCCAATACAGTAAAGTGAATACAATACGAATAGCGACCATGCATTCGTAACGATCGGAACAAGGTTGATAGTTAAATTAAATAGATAGTTAAATACTTTTGAAAAAAAAAAAATTCACATTTTAAATTACTATTAATATTGAAATGACAAAAAAACTAACAAAAAGAATTACCGCCCGAACAGGGACTTGAACCCTGGACCCTTGGATTAAAAGTCCAATGCTCTACCGACTGAGCTATCCGGGCTGTAACTGTAAGGTTGAAATAACATAATAGATTTTACGTGAAAGACGAAAATTCAAATAAATTCAGTAAATGTAACCAAGTTGGAAGTTAGAACCTTGAGTTCCTACGTTGCTGTGACACAAACACAGAACACAATCGAGGGAGCGCGCAAACACGCGCATTGTGCGCTACCAGCCACCGACAACAACCTGCATATACTAGGCTTAATTTAAGTAAGAATGTGAAAAAAATATGGTAATGTCAAAAAATTGGATTAAATGGCGCGCTAACAAAGTGTGTTTCTAGTGCACGAAGTCATAAGCATTTCGTACATGTTATAGATTGCACTCCGTAGAGACTCCCGAACAGGTCGTCAGATAGATCAGTACAGGACATGACAATTTCTTAGATATCTCTAATATTGTAGACTGTATAATATTGGAACATATTTATTAAATAAAGCAATTACTAGGTGTTTTTTTTGTTTACAAAGGCGTAGGCGTTAAGCAGTGTTGTGCAAGTCGGGCTCGGGCTCGGGCTCGGGCTCGGGCTCGGGCGTAACGCAAGAGTCATAAAATAAAAATGTCATACGCTTTACATTGCATTAAAAATCCAATAAAACATACTTTTATTTCACTAGCAGTACAAATATTATGAATTCCGCATCGAATTTAACAACCAATAAGAAATATTTGTTATGCAAAATCATATTTTTTATTAAATATAGGTTTTTACATAGCGTCAACGCTGCGTCATATGCATGTACCTCCGTGCACAAAAGTACTAACCATTGAACGAAACACAATACAATTTTACGATCCGATATGTCATAATGCAACAAAGCAAATTCTTCAAAACCGCGAATAACAGAGAGTATTATTGAGATTGATGCTGTTAGTGCCGGAATGCGCAGCTCGCCGTGACCTTCTGACCCTCACCTGATGGAAGATCAATGTTGCCAGCAATTGTCTAATGACACACATCCTGTTGCTCTAACATCGATACGTGTTTACGCGCCTTCAAGACAGGAACAAAAGTTTTTAGTTATGTAACGTTGTTTTGTTACGTTGTAATTTTATTGTTATTGCTATCAACTTTACTAAATCGTTTAATTTGACAGAATGTCCATTTTAGCAGTTATAAGTAGCCGATCGGTCTTTTGCCAGCCTTTATTATAAAAATTAAATAAATTTCCGAGTATTGAGTCATTATGACACACGGAAATAAAGGTAATTTAATTTAGAATAGCGAATTGTGTCCGGCGGTTGCGTTCGGTTCGGGCGTTCAACAATGGGTCGTTGTTAACAGACGTGCTGCAACGCGCCGGCGCCGCTGACGCAGTGCACACAGTCCGTGATGTCAACTCGCCGCTGCAAAAATAACCGATGCGCTTCCTCTTCCTTTCGGCATTACGACTTCCTCGTTAATTCTAAAGATACTATTTGACTGCTCAAGTAAACAAATAAGTTAACAGCAGTTGTTCCATAGCTTAGGGTGTTGCCATTGCCTACAAAGTTTAATACAATCTACAATCTATGTCTATACTAATATTATAAGGAGGAAAGATTTGTATTTTTGTATGTATAATAACTCAAAAATACTAGGCCGACTTCAAAAATTCTTTCACCATTAGAAAGCTACATTATCACTGAGTAACATGGATACACATATTATCTTATTATAAAAAAAGCTAAGTCGCTATTTTCAAATTTCACGTGGACGAAGGCGCAGGCAATAGCTAGTATTCTATGTATACAGAGCCAATGAGAGTTTTAGTATTGAGATATTTCATAATCCGTTCTAACCGCCAAGGTAAAGATTTAAAATTGTTATATTAAAGGAGAGAAAACGCATTTGTTAGTTATTAAACTTACATGACTGCTATTACATTTTTGTCATTAATTTTTATAATGAAAAGGCAAACGGCCAGCGTGCTATTGGATCCGACGCCCACGGACATCCGCAAGATGGAGGAACCGTGCATGCGTTGCCTTGATGGGAGGAGTTATAACGCTCTTTTGTTTAGGGTCCCTAAACGGTTACCGTTTTTGTTACTTGATAAATAAAAATAATCATTAAATTATAACATTACATTTAAATAAAAAAAAATGATCAACTAGCTTCACATATGGCAACACCAGTCCAATGTCACGCCTATCGGTGACAGCTGGCGGGCGATTTGGTGGGAAACGCGGAAACGACGCGCGCGGCCTCGCGCCTTCCGCCACCTGCAAAAAGCAGCCTCCCATCCCAGGAACTACGCCGCAGCCGCCACCGGCCAATACCAACACTGTGGCACAAAGTCACAATGACCGGATATGTTTCCCGCGACCTCATCATCTGTCAAATCAAATGAAATGTGAAATACAGCATCAAAATAATGATTTACTTCTGCTATAATACGAGATTTTAGCAGCAAAACTATGATACGAATGTCTGCGTTGAACTTTTATTGGTAATTGCCAAACTTCAGTTTCGTATTATTTTTTTTAGAAAAATAATTAAAACCTATTTAAAAGTCATAATCTAAAATCACTTTGGGACGTACGTGAATAATGAAGATATTTTTTCCTTCAGTAGGAACTGACAAAAGCATTTACCAATAGCCGCACTTCTAAGAACAACGAATTCGTGGACGACAATTTAAAAGTAACTGCCATCTAGCGGTGATTTAATAACCTACTTACTAACATTTAACTTTAAGATTTTCGTTAAGAATTATAGATGGCGTTGTTTTAAATAAAAAATATTAAGACCTTTTATTACGAAGAACCATAGAAGTACAATATTATGCTACCATCTTTTCAATCATAATGCAATGTACTATATGTAATTATACAAAGTTATAGTTTTACTCCTAATGATTAATCAGGAAGTAAGTGGTTAGTATGTCTGCAGTTAAAATTACATTAATTGAAAGTTACATTACAAAGAACTTCTCAAGTAATTGTAGTCGGCCTACATTTCTGTTGTTCCTTGCACAATGCCAACAAAAATCTCTTAGCAAAGGGCATTCGGGGTAATTTACCAATTAACGCATCGTCATTCTTCCGTATTTTCATTTCTGATTTTAATTAAATAAGTTACAACGAATCGGCGTCTGAGTTGTATTATTACAAAAAATTAATTGTATTAACACTGTATTGTATGCTATATTTTTTTATTGCAAAGTTGGAGAACGAGTTACATTTCTATTACAAGTTAGTTAATGAATGACATCATAGATGTCACTGCAAACACTATCTTACGCTGATAAGTTTCTTATCGTTACGCAAAATTTATTAATAACGCAAAAATTATTAGAAGCGAACAGGCAATAAATCAGCAATTGACTTTGCCAGAAGCAGTGCTGCGGCGATATTCGACAGTCGTGCTACGGGTGCTTAGCATAATGTTATCTCTGTCAATACACTAACTGCTCACATCTGACTCATAGGTTTAATGTTTAAAATTCTATTGGTCAGCAATGCCAAACGCCGTCCAAAGATTTTAGTGCCACGGGAGAACTGGTGGTAGTTCACGACAGCGGAGAGTAAAACTGAGAGGTCACGTTAGAGAGGAAATGGAAATGTAAGGTTCATCGAATCCAATATAGTTTACGATCGACCAAATTTAAATGAACCTCATTCAATGATAGATTATGTTTTATTATAGAGGCAACGGGCAATATAGCAAGACAATTATTGATTTGAACATCCACTGTTAGATTTCAATTCGACAAGTTGCTGATATTTTATGACTTTTAAGGGGGACTTTAGTAGGGGTGAACAATCTGATGATGTCTCTCGGTTACGTCACTCGGCAGCCCTGAAGGAGTTCCCCTTGTGCGGGTCGTGCGGGGCCGCGCGGCTCCGTGCTGGCCATGCTAATGCCGGCTGGTGCATTGAGATGCGGCGCTCGTCTGCGCGGCCCTGCTCACTCGCGGCGGTTTTTTCCTCTGTTTTTGGGTTAAAGGTTTTCGTTGGATGACGTGTGTTATCTAACATTGAAATTATAAGTGTTAGGAAGTTAGAGATCTGTCGTAACTATTGTGAGGATCCAGCCGGGGTTTGAGTTGGAGTTTTGCTTTTAATTGTAGCGAAAAAATCTTATTCAAAGATATTGGATATCGCGCGATGAGAAAGCTGCGGCGGTGTAAGTAGTCTTTATTTTAATAATGCGATTAGTTAATGAAGGTCCTGCGCTGACTGCAGGTTGCAGGCGGGGTGGCGGGGGGCGGGGGAGCACTGGGTCAAGGGGCCAAGGTCAGCGCGCGGATTTGTTTATGCATTGCTCGTGCTCGCCGCCAGAAACCTCTAGTTCTAATATAATCACATAGTTATATGTACGTGGAAGAGTATGCAGGGGAACTTTTAATTTTTCATGTTTCAGGCATGCTAAACTTTTTTTTGGGCACACAAATGTAGTTGAAATAAGTTTAAAGTGTCTTGAGATTTAATGTTATGATATACTTCGTGTATTCTTATGTTGTTTAAGGAATAAGCAATGTAGTCATCGTCCCCCATACGACAGATACAGCACGCTGGACTCGCAGACATTGAACATGTCCTCGGCCACAGATTG